ATAAGCTCAAAGGGTCCTTTGCAAAACCTGGACTACTTCTTGTACTTAATTGCTCCAATAAACCTAAAACTTGGTGCTTTAGGATAAGCAATCTGGGAGGAAATTGTTTGATGTATGGAAGCAGACGGTAGGTCCTTCTTGTGAATGTCACCGAAGGGACACAGAGGAGAAGTGGGTTTATAAATAACTATAAAACTCAGAAATCACAGGAGCTCGGTGAGAGCGGAGCCCCGTTAAGCACGAGCAGCTTGCGGTGCAATACCCAACATCTGCAAAAGTCCTTTGCAGCCAGTTTAATTCCCCACAGCCCCCGATGGCTGCGCCCAGGCCTGTCTGACACCGGCTTTCCCTCCCCGGGGGCCGGCAGCCCCCGCTTGGCACAGACACAGCCCAGCACAGGAAGGGATGCCCGGAGCTTGCACCCCAAAATGCAGATTGACGGGGTGGAAGAATGATGATGAACAGGTCACAAACTTCTATCCCGATTGCAAGGAAGGTGTTTTTTTCTTTTCCTTCTCAAAGTTACCTTATTAAATATAACCCCTTGCATTTGAAAAGCTGTTTTTTCCAGCACTGGCAGAGGTTGCTGAGCTGGTGTGGATGATGGAGCCACAGTGGCCGGGTGATGCTGTGGCCACTTGCCGTGGCTCCAGTGCCTCCCGGTGACGTGGCAGTGAAGAAAATGATGAATTGTGATCAGTGTATGAAGGGCAGGGAATGAGGTATCACTCGTGGCACTACAAAGTGGGGCTCCAGCCGTCGGGTGCTTGTAGCACAGCCCTGGGAGGAGTCGGGGGGATGCAGCCCCTGCAGCCGGTACCCAAAATACATCCAGGGGCCGGAGAGCAGCTGCAGCACCAGTGAATTTACATTCACACATTTGGATGCTGTGACTCTCATTTAACTTCCTGACCCACGTTTCCCAAAAGACACTTTTTGTGTGCGTTTTGTGTATTCTGGGAGACAAACAGACGCACAAAACTAAGAAGAAAGAACACGTAAATGTCGCAGAGTCATCTGTTTCCAATAGCGTGTGTTTACATATTAATGTGCAATACAAATTTGTAAACATGAGCATTTGAAACTTTTGTAGGAACCGATACTGGCCTTTTCCCTTTCTGCAGCTTTATTGGAACAGCATGTCCCCCCCTGGCCCCAGCCACACATGTACATCATTTTAATACTGGATGCATTTCAAATATTCTGGGTGCTTATTTGTTCTGGTCTATCTTGCTATCCAATCCTCGTTTGTTTTGCATAATTGTGATACAAATTACCATCTAATTACAGACCAAACCTCAGAAGATCGAATGTAAACCAAGGCACTTCGATCAGAACAGCTACATGGCATGCTCACTCTACGGCTTCGCCTTCTCCAGTGGATGTCATTAAATCTGGGTGAAACTGGATAGTAAACTGCACTTTGATTAAAAGCATTATCACTGTTTTTTTTTTTTTTTTTTCTCCTTCGTTTTTAAATCAACCCCCTGGTGTCTGAGCACTGAGCCCACCCCCTGCCCCAGCATCGATGGTGGATGCGGCGCCCTCAGTACAGCCAGTTTTATTTGCTGAGTGCTATAAATGGGATCAGATATTCCCAAGTAACTTCAAACTCTTCTTGGGAAAGGTCAAAATGACTAATAGCTAAGATTGTTCAACAAGTTTAATCCTTAACAAAACCCCTTTGATTATTTTCTCCCTGTTCTCATTTAAAAATAGCACCATAATACCGGGTTTATGTTTGTATTATGGTCTAAGTCTAAAGAACTGTGAACTTTTGCAATTGTCACAGCTTTTCCAATAATGTTAATGGGAGGAAATACAAAAAGTGTCATGTAACGTATTTGTATTTACAGGCACGTGGTCCCTCTTGAAATATTGACCTCGATTCTCCCAGTTTCACCTTTAATAAATAATGATTTATTATCTTGAGTTACTCTCTCGAGTTCTGCCACCCACCTCCCACCTGCAGCCATTTTCAAAAGCACCCTCAGAAAGCAGCGTGCAGGTTGCCCACTATTTTGGGCACAGTTTTTCTCATATAAGCACAATTTTTCTCATAACACCTATGTTGTAGTGTGAGCCATTGAGCTGAATCCATACCATTGTGGGTATAGAAAATGTTCCCGTGTCAGGGATGGTCAGGGAGCCTGGGCTGGGTCTGAGGTCTGGGAATCAGGACAGAGACCTGATTTGTGTCATAAAGAACCACCAACATCTATTTTATTTGTTACAGTGATATTTGAAAGGATAAATCAAGAGATAAAGGCAGAAGAAATGGAAAGTAACCTCAGATTACCCAGCTCTGACGACGTCGTGCTGATCTCTCATACGGACCTAATTGGTATTTATACACAGAATCGTCTGCCTCCCCCATGCTGGTGAGCACTGGATCCCTCCTGGAGCTCAGTGCCAGCACCTGAGGGACACGGTCACACGTACCTTGCAGGGACCAGGCTCTGGGTGTGTTTTCCGTGTGGCTGTGATCACAGAGTGTGGCGAAAAGCGGGGTCCTACAAGGCCAAGTGCATAGAAGCCCAACCCAATTCCACTGGAATTCGTTGAGCAATCTCCATTGGAGCGTATCACCCCAGCACTGGGTTTGTGGCTTCATGCCGAAATAATAATAATAAACAAAAATAAGAATAAACAAGCAGCTCCGGGAAGCCTCGTGCCCAGTTGTGAACATGCACCAAGTAGGAATGAGTTGGGTCCCGTGGAAGAGAGGGTTTGCTCAGTTGTAGTAGATAGAATTTATCTGATTCAAATTTAAGTATCTGTAAAATTGTCTGTACTGAAAATATATATTCTAGTCATTATCAGTCGTGTTTTTTTCTGGACAGACACTGATCTGTTGGATCACCAGCTCATGGCCAACAACTCTGGAATAACTTATGCAACTGCAAATATTTGGAAAATTGGAAGTTACCCATTGCATCCTCCCACAGATCTGTGGCTGATCTGAAGAGCCTTCCAGCTCCCCAAAAGTATAACCACATGTGGGGACCAGCACTCGGTCACCCAGCCCATGGGGAGCAGAGATCTGCAGTGCTTTGCAGAGCCCATCCCAACGCCTGCAGTGGACTCACCTCCGGGAGCTTGGCCACCACGGATGATGAGGGATGGCTTGGAAATAAGGACTTCCAAATGAAAAAAAAAGTTTATTTTTTCTTTTTAAATAAAAATAGTGAGATAAACTGCTAAGAAACAGCACGAGAAAGCAGACTTTTCATTTTTTACAGTTGCACAGACCATGTAGTGAGGCAAACGTGGTCCACGGCTTCATATTGGTATCACTGGGGGCTCTGTGAACGCTCAAAATGGGTAAATTAGGGAAACCAATGTTGGTTGATTTTTAGCAAAGTCTCATGAAAGTAAAAGCATGACTTTCTGTTATTTTAACAGCTTTTGATATTGCTTATTCTGTTCTTAATTTGTTGTCTGTTATGGATGAAAATAAAACCAGGATTCTGATATCAGTTTGGATTCTTAAACCTGCGCTTAACCCCTGTATAGGGCTGTGTTGTGTTTGTAAACACAGAGTTCTCTTATCTTAATCCCAAAATGTGGTCGCGTCCAGTCAAGCATTGTTTTCAAATCTCTGTCATATATCGACTAATGAAATTGGCTTCAGGTAAGGACTGAGCATTGCTCAAATAAAGAATAAAAATCCGTGCTCCAATTTATTGCGAGTTACATTGTGCCCTTGGGAGCTGGAGATTATTTACAGGAATAACAAGAATGTCCACAGGTTACAATAAAACAAGCAGAACTTTTGGAAGGGATGGAAAATTTCATGTTTCAGGGCCTGTAGAGTTGTAATTCTCCAGAAGGTATCTACATTCTACGTGGGACCAAGCCAGGAGCATCCCTACCCCTTCCCTTGGGCACAGGCTGGTGGATGCGATCCCAGGTAGATCTTCGGTGTCCCCCAGGGCTGGAAGTGCTGGGTAGGAGGAGTGTCCTGCAGGGCTCCCAGAGGTGTTTCATCCCACACAACTCTCTAGGTGTATTGCCCATGTCCCCAGCATGGATCCAGCTTGCCCTGGGGGAGATGTGTGTCCACCCGTCCTCTGTTCCTTCCCAACATGTTGTCAACGCTGGTGCCACTCTGCACTACCACCTCCTGGAGATCTTCGGAGCAGGAGCATGGAGAGGGGGGCTCTTGAGGCACCCCTGCATCAGGTCCACTTTGTCATCTCCACAAGGTAGGAACACATCCATCTTTTATCCTGTCTTCCCTTACCCTGGTGGCAGATACTTGAATTTATGTCCCAACTCTGATAACCGAGTCAGCAGAGTCCTGGAGCAACAGGGCACCTTCACGTCATTAATTCAGACCCATTAAAGCTGAGAGAACTTGAGAACACGCTCGAGCACTTGGCCAAATATGGTTCCTTTGCTGATTCAAGGTCTCAAATAGTCCCTTTGAAATCAGTGGAAAAACTCAGGTAGGGCAAGCAGTAGGTCACTAGGGCTTTGAGCTAACTAAAGGCAAGCTAGATAGAAAGTTTCAGGAAAACATATTTGTAGAAGTCTATATGTCTATGTTCCCACTTGAGAGTGCAAATATGAAAAAAAAGTGACTGTACAGTTTGGTCTTAACCTACAACCAGGACATAAATATCACCCAAAAGTATCACCTTGCTGGGGATCACCTCAGACCCTCCACGTTCCCAGATCCTCCACCCTCCCAACAACACAACACATTTGCCCACCAAAAAAAAAAAAAAAAAAAA